CAGCCTGTTCCAGCACCTCACCACTCTCTCTGTAAAGAACTTCCCCCTGACATCCAACCTAATTTTCCCTCCTTCAACTTAAAACCATTTCCCCTCGTCCTGTTTGTAATGCTTCCCTTTCCATTGCTGTTACAGTCTGTTCTTTCCAAGGACACTTTTCTCAGATTTCCTGTTCTGCTTAAAGGAGATTTAAATCACACAATAGCAGCCAGGTTTCTTTTTAATGTGCATGGCTGACTAACTGTTAACTAACTGTTGTTCACGCCAACTGCAAGTTGCTTGGCTGACCTGCAAAACCTATCAATAAACATGTACAATCACAACATGATCACCAAGAAGACTTGCCCAATAAAAACCAGCTGAATGAAACAATATTTACATACTGAATATTTTGATGCTTTAGTTACAAACATGAGCGGCTATTGCAAACTGCAATTTAGGCACATTCTTGGCCTTCCTGATGGCACTAACTTCTCACACTACAGCACTGATAAGCATCACTGTCTAGAAATACCAGTTTTGTAAGCAACTCAGTTATTGCTGCTGAACAATGATCAGACTTTGCTTATTCACAACTCTGTCATTTCTCCCTTGGATTACAGCAGTACCATATGTATGGATAAATGGTCTTCCGTATCTAGAGAATTTTGAGAAGCACATTATGCTGCAGCACATTTTACAACTTTACAGCTATTTGCAGGCTTATCAAACCAGTCTCTCCAGCATTCCACAGAATTTAAATTAAGTTCTTAATATCGGTCTTACCTTCAGAGAACATAATTTTAGGGGGTAGCTAAGACTTCAAGATAAGAACTGTTTTTGTCAAGAATAGCAGTCTTCACTATGGAGGTAAGCCAGTCTGTACAGGAGCTAACTTTCAGGGAGCTGACTGCAAACACCAAAATGAACTAATTCTGAGACAGAACAGATTTCACTGTCACTCAATTCCAACTGCAAAGCAGATATCTTTTACCTTCTTTAACAGAAATGTTTTTTCCTTATTTAGATATCCATTTATTTTTAATTAATAAACCCCCAAAGCTAAACTTTTTTTTTTTTTTTTTCACATACTTCTCCTCTTAGGGAGAGACAACAGTGCACAACCACAATATATTCTAGCTAAGTAGAGACCTACATGCTTTTCTAACACCCTAATGTTTTGTAATACATATCACAATGCATTATCACATTTACTTAGTGGCTATTAAGAAATTCTTAACACAAATACAGAGTCCAAACGTGCTGCTTATATGTGTGCATACCCGTGCCTGCTAATAATTCACACACATCAATCATTTGGTAAGAAGTAACATACTGCAGAGCTTTTGATACTCTGAAGTTGGCCACCCATTAAGTATCTAAATTCTTTTTGGCATCAGTAGTCCAAGCAAGACATGACAGACATATTACAGTTGATAAATACTACAGAGATGGGCTCCTGATTTCTGCCTCATAATCTGCTGGCAGTGCATACCAGAAGAGATGCTTTTAGCATGATGGAATAGGGTGTAGTCACCTTTTACCCCCCCCCCAATAGTGCTGATAAAAGCATCACTGAAAGCACCGCTGATCTCAGCTGTTGCACTTGCAGGGAATAGATGATATTCAAATTCAAACAAAGAAAAGTTTTGTTAATAACTGCTTGAATCACATAAGGTTTAAGGTTTTAGTTTTCTCAAGGCCAGCATTTATACTGCAGCATGAAAAGCTCTAGGACCAATTTATGCATCAATTTCAGAAAACCATATTCTTTTATTAATATTAGTGAATTTTGCTCATGTCTGCTTTCCAATTTACACAATACAGCAGAGATTCTGACTGACTTTTATTCATTGATTGTGCATACAAAACAACACATCTATGGATGTCCTAATGGGATCATTTCAGAACTATAATCTTTGGTTCTCTTGAAACAGAAGAGTTTACAAGTGCTACAGAGAACTTTTTCATAAGGCTGATCACTGTAATCTTTTTTCCCATTCTTTAAACAACTATTTGGTAAGGATTGTTGATGGGGCTGTACAATAGCGTTCTTGTGACTTGCAGCTGTGTTTTTTGAATGAATATTTGTCTTGGATTCTCTGTGGAATCTCTCAGCAGCTTTTATTGACGTTTCTTGGTAAATGTTAAACACTACATCAATTCTTTGGCTTTCTGCACCATCACGTACTGCTGATAACCAGGTACATGTTCACTTTATTTATTCTTTGGATCACACTCATTCCATTAGCGGCAGATGGCCTGTTATGGTTTTAGTACAGTTTGCGTTCCACACAGCCCCTCCATTAAAATTTCCTACTTAGTTTCTTGAAGTGTTCTACCCAATATTGTCAGTGTGCCATGAATAAGACATACTGAGCATGTCAACTTGAAACAACTTTTTGGGGGGGTAAAATCTTTGTCTGTTTTGAGTATTACTATCATTTAGAGATCTTTGTAATTTCCTGCTCTTCTTTTTATGAGTGAAAACATTCTGACCTTCTCTCCGGAAGTCCATTCATGAAATTTCTGCATGAAAGGACCAGTCTCTAGATGAAAACTCTTAAAATAATTGCAGGTCTGCTCGCTTACTTTACGTACTTCTAGGAGGACATCAATACAGTCTGGCAGCTGGCTGATAAAGTGACAAGATCTTCTGGTCATTATCGATTGGCTTTATCTTAAGAATTTCAAGCAAGGCTTCAGTACCTGGCCTCATTACAGTCTGATTATCTGTACTTCTTCAAATATCCACTAAGTTATATACTCCATTGTATATAAGGAGAGGCACTCCTCTGTGCCTGGGAAGATCATGGAACAGATCATCCTGGATGACATGCTTGATCACATGAGGAATGGGTGTGTGATCTGAGACAGCCAGCATGGCTTCACCAGGGGAAGTCATGCTTGACCATTCTGGTGGCCTTCTATGATGGAGTGACGGCATCGGTAGACAAGGGAAAAGCGACCGATGCCATTTACCTGGACTTGAGCAAGGCCTTTGACATGGTCCCCCACCACATCCTTATCTCAAAATTGGAGGGATGTGGATTTGATGGGTGGACACTTGATGGATAAGAAACTGGTTGAAAGGCTGCAGACAGAGGGTGGTCATCAATGGCTCCATGTCCAGGTGGAGGCTGGTAACGAGTGGCGTCCCCCAGGGGTCTGTCTTGGGACCGGTGCTCTTTAACATCTTTATCAATGACATTGATGATGGAATCGAGTGCACTCTCAGCAAGTTTGCTGACGACACCAAGCTGAGTGGTGCAGTCGACACGGTGGAAGG